CCGATCTCGCACCATAAGTGTTCGATTGCTCCACAGTTAGCCGAAGTGAGATCTTCTCTGACGCGAACGCCCAGTTCGGTTTTAGCGTACAACACGACTCCTCCCCCCTTTCTGCCGAGCCTATCCTTCCGCAAGATGTCGTATCCTTCGATCTCGAATTCCTTATCCGAAATGTGAGAACCTCCCCAAGTCTCGGTTATTCCGATGACATCGAAACCGTTGTCCAGTGCCCGCCCCCTGAGCTCGTCAGAGCTGTTCTTAGCGCCATCAGTAGCTTGCAGATTGGGATACAACTTAAAGAAGCTAAAACACGGAAAAGGACAGGGAAGGAGCCAATCCTAGGAAATTACCCTGCAGCCTAAGTCAGCATGAAGCTGCAGGTCCGACAAAACGAACCCTTTGAAGTAGTTTCATCCTTTCGGTGCAACAGCTTTTGATTTAACTCTGGAGCTGCCAATCGTCGATAAATTGACGATTGTCTAGGTCGCCGTGCTACTTCTCGAAGTTCTATGATTGAATTGGTAAGGCAATACCAAGGCATAAAGCAATCCCAACTTGAGTCCCCTGTAAGTACCACGGTCAACAACCAATTATGTCGACCAGTCTCATGACTGAAATGCATGAAATGACTCAAGCCTTGCAGATGTGGATGTAGAGCAAATTGTTATGTATATGTGCGTGTGTGCATTGGAAAAAAATGCAGGAGACTCTTCGACAATTCTTTTTTTCATTCGGTTGTCCAGGTTTTGCATCGAGTTGAATCAATTGTGATTCGTCAGAAGCCACTATATATTACCCTGTTGATCCACTGGGTGAACCTGAAGGGAAGAAAGGGGAAACGTTTTTTTTATGAGAAGAGAGGACAAGGATGCGAACGATGAATCGAGTAGGATTAATCCGATCCCACCTGTTAACTTTGGTGAAAATTCCATACTGCCCAGGGCGTCTCATGGAGCAAGCACCTTTTTGGAAAAAGTGACTCACGATCCCTTCCATCGTCCAGTGGCTGTCTCGTGATGAATTGGAGAGGAAGACCATGGGACTCCCCGAGTCCCCAGGACACACTGTTCGAAAATCTGTGCAGTAGAAATCATCACGATTATTGCTTTACTCATTTAAAAAAGAAATTGCAGTGAAGCATCAGTGGTATTAAAATGCACGAAGACATCTAATGACAATACGCAACTAAACGTTTGTTCATGCATGTAGTCATCTTTGCAGTTATCGGCCATCTTTAATTTACTACTGACAATTAACAAGCTCTGGCGGTACCAACATGAACCAGATAATGCTCCCCTTGTGTACAGTCGATTCAAATCTACCACTCTTTTTCCTTCATGTTTGTTAGTGCTCCCATCAAATTATTTATTGAAATACCCTCGTAGAGTTGTCAGTTGGACGTTTGAGGCTTCACACCTTTCACAAGTCTTGGCGAAAGGTACTATGTGGTCTGCTGTCTCTTCCCCGTATATAACACTGTCTTTTCTCACCCCCAGCAGTCGATGCATGATCGCCGTAATTCGCCTATACCATAAGAACGTTTTCCGGAGAATTCCGAGCGATGCAGAGAAAATAAAATTGCCGTGTGAAGCAACCTCCCTTCATAGTGGCAACGATGGATTCCTGCAATTCCTGCATCGCGATGGATTCCTCGGAAGTGCCATTTCGAACCGAGAATATTCGACAACTTTAATTCCCCACGCGAAAGAGGAAACTAATCATCAGCTTCGCTCTTGGAATTGGTTCGTAGGACTCTTAAGGCGATTCCCACTTAGCTTGTCATGCCCCCTTCGCTTCGATGCTGGGGCAGGTAGGCGGACGCACGCGTGCAGAAGCACGTCCACGAGCGTTTCCAGTAACGTATAAGAGGTTTCACGATGCACGAGGCTTGCGTGTGGAATTGGGAAGAGCTGAATTGATCATCTCAGAATGCATTCGTGCGAATTTGACGCAATCACGGATTACAAGGTCATACCTTCGAGAGGAGTTTCTGCAGAAAAACCGGCGCAGAACATATTTGAGGTGAGGGTCCGAGTGACGCCGGGGTCCCCCGTGAAACGAAGCGTGTCCCGAACACACTTGAGATTGGATATTACGGGGAGTTGAACCTCCGTCAGGACGGCTGCGAGTTTATCCGAGCCGTCATAACCCCAACCGGCCACCTGCGTCGTTACGAAAGCATGCAACAAGAATGCCGACATTACAATTTTCAGGTAGAGGTATCTAATATATATAGACGAACGTGACTGACTGACGCTAATTCTAACCATGTTCTAGAAAGGATAGAAATCTGAAACTTGGTACACATGCACCTTTTGGGATGCATAGTTCAGAAAAAATCCGACTTTGGAGGTACGTGCCCTGGGGGTACAAAATTGGGGGGGAAACGTTTTTCCCAAATATATTTTGTGACAGATAAGGATGGCATTCAGAAAATCAACAGCAGGTGCAGGGTTCGGTGGTATAGTAGTAGCATCTCTGCCTGGCAATCGGAAAGTTCGTTTTCAATTCCCGGCCATTCCTTGGCTTTCTTTTGGCTTTTTTTTACCTTCCATGTCCCGTTACTCATTCCCCCTCCATAACATTATTTTTGCTTGAGTAAAACGGAGAGACATGGAAAGCTGAAACCTGGCATGGAGGTGCCTACCGAGACGATGAGATCAGGAAAAATGCAACATTTTAGATCCATGCCTGGGGGATATTTTTTGGGGCCGACGTTTTCAAGAATTTTTTTTTTTGTCCTAGCGTATTGAGCTAGTGTGGAAAGATGAAACTTGGTACATAACTACCTATTCGGATGTTGCAGAAAAATGCAGACTTTGGAAGTAAATCCCCTGAGGGCACAAATTTCAAAGGAAGATGTTTTCAGCTAATTTTTTTGCATCAGATAAACTGATGAACATGGAAAGCTGAAACTTTGCATGAATGTGACTACTGAGACAAGGAGTTAAATAAAAATGTTAAGTCTCGATACATCCCCTGGGGGAATTTTTTTCGAGGTGAGATGTTTTGAAAAAAATGTTGTCATGGCGAATTGGACAAAAATGGAAAGGTGAAACTTGGCGTACGTATAAGTGACATGATGTCATTGAGCTGAGGGAGTATTGAGCTTTCATGGTGCATCTCCGGGCATAGCGTTTGGGTGGGTCGGCTTTTCCAAACATGTTTTTTCACCAGCGAAAAGGGCAAACGTATAATATTGAAACGTTGTGGGCATTCACTGAGGATGGATTTCGGAAAAAAATAAAATGGTACTTTTCGGTTAAAACGGCTCGGGGCACATATATTGCAAAAGGCGTATTTTCCCGAATTTTCTTATCAAGAAAAACAGAGAGCGCAAGAAAGTTTAAACTGGGCAAAGATGTACCTAGATGATCGTGAGTAGCTGACTGACATAAGTGGCTATTCGCATGCTGAGCTCAGAAAAAAAATTCGACTTTGGTGATACATGCCATATGGGCACACATTTTCGGGGAATGAATTTTCAAATAGTTTTCTTTGCTTCATTAATACGGAAACACATGGAGAGCTGAAACTTGGCAAGAACGTGACCGTTGACGTACTGGGCTCAAATGTCAAACATCAAATTTCAAAAATATTTTGGGGTTCATATTTCTTGAGGACGTAACGTTTTCAAATAATTTTTCATATCCTTCCAAATCGGGCAGAATAGAAAAGTAGCTGGCGCACCCATAACGGACGTAATGTTGATTTAAGGAAAATTTCAACTTTTCTTGTGCGTCACCTCAGAGCACAGCTTTTGGGTGGGTCGCTTTTCGAAATAAATGTTTTCCGCCCGCAAAAAGGGGAAACGCATTAGGCTGAAATTAAGTGGCATTGAGTTCCCTGAGCCTACTCTTCAAAAGAAAAAAAAAGTTTCGTTAAAACCCATCAGGGCACTTTTTTCTGTCCCATTTTCCTGATGTTTTCTTTTATCCATTTTCTTTTATTTTAACAGAGGCAGATAATTTAAACTTCCTTCAGTAGTACCTATTTGATGGCTGAGTACAGAAAGACCCTAGTTTTGAAATGTCTTCTTAGCATAGATTATAGGAGGGAAGTATTTTAAGATGTATTCTCCACCCTGACGAAAAAGGATACAAGAAATGATTTCGAGTTAGGCACACTAGAAATCATGGAAGTAATGGTTTTGATAAAAATGAAGACTTTCGTCCCCATATGTCACGTATTTCAATGGGGACGTACTTTAAATACGTGTTTACTATTTCGCAAAAAAAAAGAATTAATCACACTCGAAGGTAATGGAGCGCTGAAGGCGCGACCATAGCGAGTTTGTTTGCCCGAAGGGCAAACATACTCGCTAATTTAAGATATTTGGTGTCTCACCCATCCTGGCGCTCCACTGTCGAGGTTCGCCTCAGAGAAATCAAATCGGTTCGGGAGACATACCAACTGAACTCGCGCCGTTAGCACGGCAGGTCTTGATAGTTTCAATATAGCAATGTCCGAGTCGTAGTTATTATATACGTTGAAGTCCTTGTGCAAGATTATGTGAGACACCTGCAAGGAGATTGCGACAGTTTACATCATCGGGAAAGAATGGATGGAAGTTCGGAAATGTTAGAATATCGCTGAACTTGTCTGATCTGCACGTGTTCGTCTTTCTTGATATAAGATCTGTGATGTTTCCCAAGGTACACAAAAATTTCTTCAGAGTGCCGAATTCTGATGGAACCGTCTACGACGACGCAATGGGCAGCTGTTATCACCCATTGTTCCCTAATGAGAGCCCCTCCACATATAACATCTCCCATCTTGATGTCATAAATGGCCGCTTGCCACGGCCATTCTCCGATTTCTGATGGATTTCCTCCTGCTGACAGTTGAATTTGACTTGCCTTTTTTCCGCATACTGCATATAGAACGGTAGAAATAGAGTCATTCGGAAATAGCAGAGATGTGTCGGTTGAACAGGGAATATGGGAGTAAAAGAAACCGACCTGGCTTGCAAAATGGGGTGGGACTGGTCCATTCCCCATCCTCCTCACATCTTCTGAATTCCGGTCCCTGCAGTTCATAATATTTCTCGCATCTGTATCTAACGACGCTCGACGTTGCATAGGCTTCCCCTTGAATGCAACTTGCATTGCCTCTTGCAGCAATCTCTTGAGACGGGCCGCCACAAGACTCGACCGCAAAGGATCCATGCTGAACGGCGCTGAGTCGCCCGCATCCGATCGCTCCGCCTGTCGGCGAGAGAAGTTGGCGGAGTTGCCGTTATGACCGTGACTGCAATGAATTCATCCACTGAGTTCGACTTATAAACCGTCTGTGATTTTGCCTGTTGTTTCGATGAATTGGATCTGCATGGTTTTTCCATCAGAATTTCCTGTGGGTTTCTTCAGGAGTTTAATGACTCCAGGACATTTGACCATTTGAGGTTTTTTGTTGGGTAGTTGTTCCCATTCTATGGCAATAGGCACCTTAGGATTCAGTTTTCTTCACGACAAAGACCGTGAATAAATTGCATCACGCGCCATATCATGTATGAAGTGTACTTATTTTCTGTATGAACTGGAAGATTTGAGGTCTGAATTTCTAACTATTTGATCACAGAGAATACTGATGGCACATTGATATATTGTAGCTCAGAGGAAAGTGCTCATGTTAACGGGGTTTAGTGGTTAAAACCAAATTTTGATGAAAAGAATGACATTCCAACGTTTATAACAGAAACATGACCTCAGACAAGTGTGCATGGCGAATTAATTTACAATTCCATATAAATCCGAGAACCTACAGTAAATGGTACAGTACTCTGAATGGATATGAACGCCATGTACCAGTCTATCGCACCGGAAAACGGACTCTCCCTTGGATAGAACTTCACTTGACCTATTGGCATTGTAAGCTCCATAAACACAGAGCAAAATTGCAAAAAAAATATGTTTCGTATGTTTTACTGCTCATTTAAGGGAGTATGAAATATATTCGCCGCATGATCATATTCCCTCCGGCTACCAGGTTTTTCATTTCCATTGTCCAGAGCTACAGATACTAGGAATTCTAAGGAATTGCTTCCGTCTTGGAAAGCCATCATATACACTTTCTTCCTCGTAAAACGCAAGTCTTTCTCAAGCTGATTTTTCTATTTAAAAATTTAGGACCTTCATGTCTCGTAAGAAATAGGGTGTGGTATAAATAGGAAACAGCAGAAGAAACTGAAACTTATTTTTGCATTGCCCTCCTTTCCTTCCGCCAAGGAGAAGTAACGCTTGGTCACGAGCTTGATCGGTAACGAGTGTTTATCATTCAGGTTCTGAGCTTTCGCGGAATAGAAACATATTGGGGCCATTTTGTAGCTATAGTTAAAATCAGAGCCCTGGATGGAGAAAGTGTTAAAGTCCCCTTTGTTTTGGGCTGGCTGATGAAAACCGCTTTTGGATTCTTAAACGCTTGCTCCCATGCATACAGGGCATTTAATTTAAATGGTACATCTTTTAACGCTGATGACTCTGAGAGGACGCAGCCAATTTTGATGAAATTTGACGACAATATAGACCGACTTTTGCCAAAATATTCGACCGAGTTTCTTTCTCGCAGCATCCTCTATCCGGTTGAAAAACTTCTTTTTACCTAAACCTCTCAAATCGAGATCTTATCAATTTGATGAAATCCTTTAAAGCACATCATTCATTAGAATATGGCTTGATCCAGTAGCCCTGAAAGTTTCACGATTCTATCCCATCTCTTTACTGAGATATCAATTTTTAAATGTAATAGCAAAAAATGCTGGCATCTTCCAATCGACGGATTTAGTGTTACCCAGGCTGAGCCAACATGGAGGTAGCCGTCGTTCATCCAATGGGGAGTTTTTCGAGCGGTTCCCCTTGCCTCCACAAAGCCATTCGGCAGGAAACACTCACAATCGAGAGATTATCATTTGTGAAGTTTGATTTGCTTGCCGTCGATCTCAAAGCAAACCTGGCATCGATTGAGGACTGAGCGACAGGCCTTCTGAACCATTTCCTGAGGGATGGTGTCGAACTCCTCCTCAATAATTTTTTTAATGTAAACGCTCGCAGGCGAAAGGGAAAGTAAGAAAAGCATAATTTGTGCGAGGGAAGACATTTCTTTCCCTCAGAATTTCTCCCGGATGCTGGTCGTGTCGGATTTTTCACGGGAAAGTACGGAAATCCGCTCACGAGGCGTTCGATTCGATCGAGCCTGTGTCCTTTGCAGGGAGCGAGACGGCTTGGGAGAGATTGACCCGGATGCCCCGTGACGGTCTCGAGCCGAGAACCGCAGAAACGCAGAGGCTTTCCGACCGACGATCGCACTCTACGGGAGGGGAAAGATGAAGGGAAAAGAGAGGAAGAGACCTGGATTTAAGGGTTTGCAGTGATCAAAGGGATGACCCGTGGAACCTTTCGGGCAGGAGCAGACGGGCTTGTGGTTCTCCACGCGGCATTCCGCGTTCGTCCCGCACGCCCCCACGCACGGGTCCTCGCATCTGAAGTGGACGCACGCCCGGTGGTGAGCGCACTCCTCGTCTATCGTACATTCCGCGTAGCATCGGATTCGAGGGTCTCCCAGGAAATCTGAACGGAGACGAAAATGAATTCTTCGAACTCGCGGCCGACATCATCTTTCAGAAGCTTTCATTGGCTTTTTTTAAAGATTAAAATGACAGCTGGAAATCCGATGTTTGGAAAATCCTCGTCGAAATGCATGCGATTTTCGTAGGAAAAAAATCTCGCAAAATCGGCGACATCCTCTGCGTACCACTACGGAATTTGAAATCTGAGACGTACCTTTGGGGCAGGAACAGATGGCCCGGTGATGTTCCACGCCGCACTCCGCGTTCCTCCCGCACGCATCCGTGCAAGGGTTCACGCACTTGTACTGCCGACACTCTTGTGTCGGTGCGCAGGCGGAATCCGACTCGCACTCTGCACTGGAAACCATGGCATTTCGCATATTAAATTCATCGCGTTCGCTCTCCCCATAAAAATGTGCAGCGATGTTCACTTCGTTTCCCCTTCATGCACGCCGCTTGGGAATCCCCGGCGTGGACTCTATCGACCAAAGAATTTCGGGTGGATTTCCGGGACTTAGAGAACCCGCCGTCGAATACGACCGGCCGCAACGGCGACCTCCTTCGGAAAACTCACGTTCGGAAACGTCGGAATCGGACGAGAACGCGTACCTCTTCCCCCGAAGATCGCATCGGTTAAAATAGAAGGGGTGGATCTTCCCGTCGCGACGGGAACAGTGGACGCGGGTCACGGGCCTCACCAGACCACGCGTCGCCTCGCGGCGGGAGCGCGAGTCCGTTCCGAACGCGCTTCGATTCCCCTCCCGGAGACGGCGAAACGGCTCACCTGCACCCTTGAAGGGGGTTGCCGAAGAAATGGGGAAGGCAGGAGCAGACGGCCAGATGGAACGCAACCTCGCACTTGGAGTTTCTCCCGCACGGTGACGGATCGCACAGCTCCTCTGGAGATTCACGAACGAAATCGGTCTCGCGAACGCCCGGGAAACGCGGGAAACGGACGCACGCGGGGAAACGTTACCGGGGCCGAGTCGTCGACACCGCTCGAAGGGATCACCGGTGTGACCGGCCGGGCAGGTGCAGGCGGGGACGTGTCTCCGGACGATGCACTGGGCACCCGTCCCGCACGCCCCCAGACACGGATCCGTGCAGTAGAAATCCTTGCACACTCGATCGTCGCCGCAGTCGTTGGTCTCTGCGAAAGTAAAAAAAAACGACGGATGACCTCCCTTTCTCGCGCCTTCGGAAGTGCTCGAGATCGCGGAAGACGCACCGACGCATTCGCCCTCGAAGCAGCTCGCCTCTGGGTTCCCGTAGTAGATGCACGAGCACACGGGGTGGCTACCGCTGGCTCGGCACTTCGCGTGCGCCCCGCAAGGATTCGGAAAGCACGGGTCCGCCTTCTCTCTCTCGCTCCCTAGTCACATTTCAATGAAATGATGTTTCTCCGATTTCCATATAACATTACAAAGCAGCTTCACTTTGACTCCATCAGCCGGAAAGAATAATAAAAATCCATACGAATGTGACGAGCAGAAAGGGAACATTCCAAAGAAATTCGTGTGCATCGCTTTTGCCCACATTCTCATTTTGGTACCTGACGTGTATCATGCCTGGAGTGCATTTAATTTCTGTATAACTCAGAAGGTTTGATGGCAGAATTTCTGACTTTATTGATCACGAAGAATATTGATGGCAGTGACATTAGATGTCTCGGAGGAAAATGGGTAAGACAACGGAATTTAATGGTAAAATCCGGATTAGGATGACAAAGGAAGACACGATTTCAAGGTTTATGAAGGAAACAACCTTAAACCAGCGTGCACGGATGACTAACTTCTCTCTAATTTCCAGTTCCATTGATATCTGAATACCCACTTTACTCTGAATGGATATGACCGCCTTGGGCCAGTCAATCACGCAGGAACACGGACTCGCCCTTGAATATAATTTCGCTTGACCGACGAGAAAATCCGGAGTGGGCTATCCAGCTTCCTTGCTGAACGCAGTAGGGCGCTAATTCTTCTCCAAGCCTGCCCGCTCATCCAAAAACTCTCACGTTTGAGTTCTTGCTTCCTAAGAGATCTTTGTGGCTTATGGAAGAGCAGTTGGGCTTTGTATCTATAGTTGATAATGAGACTGCTAAATGCATGAAATCACATTTTCCATGCTTCGTACGACCATGATCTCAAGAGTAGAAGAGGTATATCACGTAGAGGAATTTATTCAGAGCAATATTCTCGTTATCTGCTTTCATCACTACACTTGCTCCAAAAACTCAAAGTGGCTCAAATGCCTTAGCTCATGAGCAACAGTAACTATTGAAATAAGCTCCTGCCCCTCCTACACAATGGTTATGGAGTGATTTTTAAAAAGTAATTTAATGAGCATAATCATTTAATACTCAACGTTATTGATTGACATGTTATTGAGGAAATGAGGAAGTAGAAGAAAAAAGGGAAAAATCAATATAATGGGTTGACGGGTGGAAAGAACGCTCTCTATATACTAGCCTTTATGATAGGCCATCCAGACTACCAAACCCTTGATCTTGAATGTCTGGAAGATTTTAGAAGGCATGTTTAAAAATGTAATTGAAATGAAGCGTAATTTGTTTGTTTTTTTCTCTCGCTTCCTACTGAAATCTTATCCGCTGTGAACTATATCTAAAATTGATATTTTTTAAAGCGACGAATGAGCTCGCATTCCTTGAATGCTTCTTCTCCCATGAATATGGAATTAATTGTATACCCCTCTAGATCAGTGGTTTCTCACAGTCAGCATAATATGGAGATAGCTAAGGGAATCGCTGTGTACTTCTTTGTCATGAGTCTGTATGGAAGAGGAAACCAGAAATTTAATGAAAAATGCTTATCGCTATGTTTGTCCTCTAATTCCTGATTTACTTTAGAGCTTGAGTTAATTCCCTGAACTCCCGCTTTCGTTGCAACCACAAAATATCGCCAACAGAAGCGTAAGTCGCAATCGCTCGATTGCATCTGGGGGCAGCGAGGCGAAGTGGTAGAATCTGAGTGGCGTCCATGAATCTTGCGAATGGGATCTTAAAATCCCCGGTCATGGAGGCTCCACAGAGTTTTCCCAACTTTCTCAATCCACAGCCCTGGGGACCTTCGTTAGAAGAGACCTTCGTTAGAAATCATGTTAAGTTTATTCGATGTGATGACCGTCTTCGAGGCCTCGAAAATTCCAAAAAATCCGGAAAATTCCATCTCTCCCATAGTTTGGCATGGAACAAAAAGTTGGCAAATCATATAGCGACCGCTTAGAAGAATGGAACAGGAGACATCACCTTGAGTTGTGGGTGTTGGAAACTTCAATTGAGGATCACAGTCTTTCATGCCATCTAAATCCAAATTCGTGAATTCGGTTTCATTCAGGCACTTCCCAGAAATGCTTTCAAGAAATTCCCAATTGAGAACCAGCCATGACATGTCACAATCGCATCGGATAGGATTGCCTGGAGTAGGGGCAGGGAGGAAAGTCCAATTACGCAAAATGACGAAGTGACGAAGAAACACAACGTAATCTGGAATAGTGAGAAACCGTGAAACTCACCGTCAAGGTATAGGACTCCATCTCCTGTAGAGAGGATTTCCAACATTGGGCGGAAGCTCTCAGACAATACAGTGATTTTGTTGTTGGTCATTTGAACCACGGTATTAGGTCCTAGACCTGGAATGCAAATAAAAAACTCCATTCGATGAACGAACTAGAAACCCAAAACGCCTATCTCGAGCATACCAGAGACTTGATGGCTCGCAGTCGTCGCCTGGACTTGAACAAGGTGATGAATGTCTTCCTTTGCATAAACGGTACTTCCATGTACTTCATTTGATGTATTAGTTAGTCCTTAAATCCTCACAGCGATATTCTGAACTGACAAGTACAGGGTCGCCTAAAAGTAACTTCACACCTTGAAGTCCGCAAGTTTATTGATGTAAAAATAACGCTTTGTAAAAATTTATTTTGCTGCTTACTTAAGAGTAACACTCTAAGGGTTCAGCGATGTCCTCAAATCGGTCCTAGTTTGTAAAGAATTTTCATTGAAAGCCATGAGTTAAAAATAATAAAAAAATGTTTGCCTAGAAGTTTGAAGTTTTTTGGGCCACCCTGCAGATAAAAGAATAGAAATGATTCAATTTTCTTTGGATAAAGTGCCAACGTATTTCATCTGATCCCAAATGTCTATGCATAAAAAATGTATTGCCAGCTCTTAAGATAAAGGCTTCATGTGAATGAGGAAACAGGTCTAATTGTCCAAAATAACCCGTAATATAAAATAGCATGGCATGCATCGAAAAGTTTTGACATTTGGAAAGGTTTTTCGCAAACGAAGGAAAACTTCAGCATTGGAACAGTGATGGCAAATTTTGTGATATTTCACAATTTTGAAATTACATTTTTAAAGTTTTCCGCTATATACTGTAGAGGCAGATTCGATATGCCATTTCACATGCACTGTAAGAAAATTTTCGGAGATTTACGATTGCTCTTTTCGTAAAAATTTCCGACGAAGTAATCCTGGGAATTTATTTTAATTAGTTTAATGGCTTCCTGAAAATGCCAATACTGAAAGGCCCAAGTGATCACAAAGCATATTTCGGCGAATATTCGAAACAGGATTTTTTATGAAAACTAGGAAAGGGGTCGTTCGCTTGAACGCCGGAATTCGGATATACTCGTATGTCCCTTGGACATAACATTTTGTCAAGGAGAAGGGAAAAATTCCGCCAAAAATTAACAGAAAAGAATCGAATAGGGTGTCCGTTGTACCCTAAATATTACTTTTATGTTGAAAAATATTGCTTTCCATTATATTGAGGTTCATCCCATTTCTTACTGGTATTTCAGGCAAACTTCCTTGTTGTTCCCTCAATTAATGCAAGCTCTCTCATATGCAAACAACCGTTTGCAAATTAATGCCATCTTGCTGGGTTATAGCAATTTAAAGTCGTTTAGAGACGTTCTCATTCGCTCCCCATGTTCCATGGAGTCCGACCCTCTCCTATGTGTGAGGTGCTCTTGGATCAAAAGTTTACAAAATCTTCCTGAACATGCTATGCCAGTTCTTATCGATCTTGGAAAGACGAAAAAAATAATAGAATTCAGCGACACTCATGCAGTTGAAGGAAAATTCGCTGAAAGGTATGCTTTCAGTCCGTGAGAGGTTGGGATACTTGGCTCATCAAAAGAGAATTAACGCAGAATTGTCACTTGCGACATGATGTCGCTTTACTCGACGGTCAAAAACTTTATCGTCTCCCTAGTGAGTTCCAGTACCACACATTGGCTTATGGAATAAATTTCGGGGAAAATTAAGTTTCCTGCTTCCTCGACGAACAACGAGATATCTGATGAAACTCCACCAGCAAGGTAGGTTTTCCATTGGGAGCGTCCCAAAGTAAACCACATGAATCAAATTTTCCTAGCTAGTATTTATGACGATGAGGATGCGGTTATTCTCCATGACCGGATCTAACGAGGAATCGTACCTGTGATGGCTCCTTCATCCAGTTCGGAGATATTATTGCCCCAGAGCGTTACTAGTTTCAAGGCCCTGCTTTGGAATTCCAGGACACCTCTTGAAAGGGTTGGACCCAGATTGGACTCTGAACAATAGAAGTTCTCCAGGTTCTTCATGCTCTTGATTGCTGCAGAAGGGAGCTCCAACAGGGGATTGTTTGCTAAATGAACGCAGAAATATATTACTGAGATGAGGAAAAGCTGCACGACCCACTACATTGATGCGTCATCGAAATGAAATAAAATGCCTAAACGATATAATCGAAGCATCGCATATCACACTTGAATTGAAAAGGAAGACTTATTTCATCATACATTGTTGACTGATGTTGAATAGTTGCTGAATAAAATTGTTCTCTCAAATATTGTCTGAAACTGCAATAACTTTCCGGCCAACCCAATAGATGAGGCAGAAATCTGAAACTTGGTAAACACGTACCAATTGGGATGCAAAGTTCAGAAAAAATCCGACTATGGAGGTAAATGCCCTGGGGGCGCACATTTTTGAAGGTGTTTTCAGATATCTAATACTTTAATTTAACATTTTGGGTAAGCCCAGTTCAGTAGTGGGCCTCCTCTCAGGGAAACCCTCATTTTGTCACCTAATTTAACAAAATGATGTCTCTTCCCGGTCTTCGACCATCAAAAACCAAATTTCTCATTAATATCTGGTAAAAATAGACAAATGGTGGCCATTTAACGATGATGGGAGGATGAAGGGCTGTGCGTGGTTGGATCCATCCGACACGAATGTTGGTAGGAAACTGACAGCTCTGGTTGCTGACACGGCGCCGCGCTCAAAGCCTCCGTCTTACGCGCATGCGCATTGTGAACTACATCCTGAAAGGCTCATAGGTACTCATGGCTTCCCCTCCGTTAGCAAATTAAAAATCCAATATTTGCTATAAACACGCCAATTTTGGTGCACATTCACCACGAAACGAATTCAGTCTGTATATTGTTGATATCTACTCGCTTAGCAATTTTCCCATGGATCAGATCAATATTTTTTTTGTTATCGTCGGACAACCAATGTGCGACACACGGACACACTGAAACACGGACGGACAGTAAATATATAAATAGTCTATAAGTGGTATTTTTCCTTTTAGGAACGGAGGCCCACTAAAAAGGCTCATCGTGTTTAAAGGCGTTCACACTTTAAAACACGCCTGCAGCGCTGAGTCACGGGATCTACCGTGTGTCTCATGTTTTGTGTCTCTAATGTGATCGCTTCCAATTAAAAGGAGTTAGAGGATAATGACTGAGGAACGTTTGACTATCAATAATCACTAATTGCTCGACTTTGCTCCGAATTCAGCCAGAATGTAACGGAAACCACTTGACAATTGAAAAGGAAATTCGACGGACTAACCATAAAATTGTTCATATTTGGTTTGACCCGAGCTACTTCATATCTTTATGAAAATGTTTTCAAATTTCTGCCCATTAGATGGCCAGCATAACAGCTCCTAGTATGTATTTGTTCCAGTCAAACGGAGAGACTTGGAAAACTGAAAATTGGAATGGACGTGCCTACTGAGACACTGAGGTGAGGAAATGTCAAGTTTCAGATGCCATGGGGGCATGTTTTCAGGGATGACGTTCTAAGAGGGTATTTTTTTCTCCTAGCGACCTGGGCAGAAATAGGAAGATGAAATTTGCCACATGCATAACTGACATGATGTTGAGTTCAAGAAAATTTCACCTCTTTTGGTGTTTCCCCTCAGGGCATAGGCTTCTTGGTGGGTAGGCTTATATATAGACCATCGTGACTGAGCGACTGACGGACTGACTGATGCTAATTCTATGTTCTACATATTATGGATGAAACATGGTAGGAACCCAAACAGCATGTTAATGTTAATTTTACGTAAAATGAATGTAAATTTCTTGTCCATTTTATATCATTTTTACGCAAACCATTGTCAAGATAATGTCACCTCAGTGATACGTAAACGGTGATATAAAGTTAACGTGAACTTTATGTAAAATTGACATTCCCGTTTGCATTCCAAACAGCATGTGTATATTCATTTTATGTAAGATTAATGTTAATTTTCCCTTGTCATTCATGGGTATTTAACGAGCCAATCAGTACCATTGATGGGAATTGATACATTCCTTCCTTTACATCTCCCATTCCTTTACATAGTTCAGAACTCTAGGGTGGTTGAACGAGTATAAAAATACTCAGCCTTACCAGCACTCAAAAGCACCAAACTGACCTACTGTTTCCTCCTCTCATACCGGAACCTCGGGAGGAAGAGTAGATGTTCAAAGGAGCTCTCTACCATTTAGAATAGAGATGTAGTATTTGTGGGGCTGGGATTCTACTCTTCCCTAATCCCGTGCACTGCTAAAATAATAAAAATAATAAAAATAATAATAAGTAATAAAAAGCTTAACTTCAGCATTTAATGGTTCCTTAAGTCTTATTTAATATTTTATCTAATAATTTCATGTTTTCCATATATATATCCATGGATTACATAATAAAAAGTAGGATGGTAAGAAAACCTGGTACTATATCAGGAAAGCCAGTACTTAATAGTATTTGTAGGATGCAGGGAACAAGGGTTCCATCTAGTGAGGAATCTTGGTACTGCATAACTTGATGTCATGTACTTCACGTCAGATGGAGTGACGTCTAGTTTATGTAGAATAAACGTACACTTTGGTGATGCGAATATAGGAACGTAAATTTTACGTAAAGGTGATGTCATTTTCATGGCAATCGCAAGAAATTTACATTGTTTAAAAAAAATTGATATCTTTTTTACTTAAAGATGCTGCTTGTGAAGGTTTCTATTAGGATGCAGAGTCCAGAAAAACTCCGAATTTGGAGGTATATGCCTTGGGGGCACGGAATTCAGGGGGGGGAAATGCTTTCAAATAATTTTTTTTTTGCTTCAGTCAAACGGAGAGACACGGAAACCTGAAACTTGGCATGGATATGACAACTGACACGCTGAGTTAAGGATAATGTCAAGTTTTGAATGCATCGCCTGGGGTCATATTTTTCATGGGTAACTTTTTCGATTAATTTATTTTTTGCCCTGGCGTATCTAGCAGAAATGCAAGGGTGAAAATTGACACTCATAACCGAAATGATGTTGATTTTTGAAAAAAAGTCAAAATGTTTTGTGCATCTCCTTATGGCACATATTTCCTTAAAGGCGCATTCTCCAGATCTTTTTCAATTCAACAAAACAGATAGCAACAGAAATAGAAACTTGGCTCAGGAGCACCTGTTCAATTGCTGAGTGCACAGAAAACCCTGCTTCTGAAGCATACACCTCAAGGCCAATTGTGGGATGGAAGAATTTCAAGATTTATCTGCCCCTCTGACGAAAGGGGGCAAAAGAAGAAATCTGAAGTTAGGCACATAAGAAATAATCGGAGTAATGACTTCGATAAAATTCCTGGTGACGTCCTATCATGGCTCATATTTCGATATAAATTACGTCTGTCTCCTCGCAAGTTACGTAGTTGATAGTTCATGGCACAGTATATCTGAAAAGCAGGGGAATATCTTCAAAAGTTCATATTAAAAATTAGTGAAATTTCAATGCAATATTAAATATTATAATATGAAAAATATTAAATATTATACTAATTAAATAGTATAACGTTTTTAAAATGCGCTTATGTGTTTCCAAAGCCGTGTCAAACCCATCATATCAAATGCAATGCGTTTTCCTTCTCGAACATGATCGAGGTTGGGCTAACCGCCTGATCATGAATCTCGCTCGAGATTGTCGATGAAAAGAATTTCTCAACGATCAGGATTTCAGAAAAACAATCAAACTTATATGACTCGAAAGAGATTTGAAAGCTCTATCATTCTATGGGATATGCAAAACTGTACTAGTAATCGAAGAAAAGTTTTTGAAGGTCAAAGTTGAACAAATATGGCAAAATGTGCAACTTTATATACACTTAGCAGAATTTTGAAGCAACTTAAAAACGAATGTATCTTTGGATCAATCTCATAGAGCATGATAGACATCCGAATGCTGGTTGAGTTATATGCATTTTTATTGTGAATTTTTCAGAGTTGAAAATTTGATGTAATGAAACTGTAACCTTTTCCCAATTAGAGCACGGACGAACCCATAAAGAAAGTTAAAGAAATCCTGCCTACTCGCTTTGAAATTGAAATTCATATTTTAAGCTGAAGTAGTTCGGGAGAAATTGCATTTGCTTGAGGAGTCACTTCATCCTTTCCTCTAAAAATTTCAAGGAGCACATCTCAAAGCCGTTGGACCTAAAGAGCTTAAAAATTGGATTCATCCTTTTCTCATAACCCCCTGGGCACATGGTTTTTAACAGCTAAATCCCAGTCGGCGCAGCAACCACCTTTGGACAACTTGATGTGATAACTCAACTATAATAGGAGCGTGCGAAAAAATTGTAAGATTAAAGTTGAGGTGGCTCTGGTTCGAAAAGTGTATTCCGAATCTCGCGGTTACTATGGGAAGTAATGTTGAATTGTTTTTTATGTTGCTTTTCTTCAAGAAACAGTCTTCAAAGAAACAGACACTGTCGTGGATTCATCAAAATCATGAAACAGATAATACTCACCTATGCTGAAAGCCCTCAAAATCGGAGTCGCCCATCCATCGTATTCAATTCTCGTGATTTCATTGTTGTCAAGACTGAGTATTTCTAGGCTGACGCTCTTGAATGCCGGGACAGAAGTCAAGAAATTGTTGTCGAGATGAAGTTCTTTCAATTTTGGAGCTAGCCATGCATCCAACTCCACACTCCTAATCTTATTGTCTTCAAGATGGAGTATTTCTAGGCTGTCGCTATTGAAGACCGGGACAGTGGCCAATAAGTTCTTGCTGAGTTGGAGTTTTTTTAATTTAGGAGTCAGTCGTTTGTTGAACTTGACATCCATGATCTGATTCGTGTGAAGACTGAGTTTTTCAAGGTTGTCGCTCTTGAAGATCGGCATAGAGGTTAAGAAGTTGTTATACAGATAGAGTTCTCTCAATTTGGGGGTCTCCCATCCGTCGACCTCCACGCTAGTGATCTTATTGTTGTAAAGGCTGAGTATTTCTAATTTGTGACTCTTTAAGGCCGGAACATAGGTCAATAAATTGTTGTAGAGCCAAAGTTCTCTCAATTCAGGAGTCGCCCATTTGTTGAACTCCACACTCGTGATCTTATTGGTGTGAAGACTGAGAATTTCTAGGCTGTCGCTCTTGAAGTCCGGTACTGAAGTCAAGGAGTTGTTGTTGAGGTGGAGTTCTTTCAATTTGGGAATCGCCCATCCAACGAACTCCAGACTCGTGATCCGTTTGTTATCCAGGTCCAGCCTTTCTAGGCTCCCACCCTTGAAGGTCAGGACAGAAGTCAACAAATTGCTGTCTAGATAGAGATCTTTCAAATTGGGGGTCGCCAATCCCTCGAACTCCACACTCGTGATCTTATTGTCTCTAAGACTGAGTATTTCAAGACCGTCGCTTTGGAAGGCTGGGACAGAATTCAACAAATTGTTGTGGAGCCAGAGTTCTCTCAATTTGGGAGTCGTCCTACCGTCGAACTCCACTCTCGTAATATTATTATCTTCAAGGTGGAGTATTTCTAGGCTGTCGCTATTGAAGACCGGGACAGTGGTCAGCAAGTTCTTGCTGAGTTGGAGTTTTTTTAATTTAGGAGTCATTCGTTTGTCGAACTTGATATCCATGATTTGATTCGTGTGAAGACTGAGTTTTTCTAGGTTGTCGCTCTTGAAGATCGGCATAGACGTCAAAAAGTTGTTATACAGATAGAGTTCTCTCAATTTGGGAGTCGCCCATCCGTCGGTCTCCACGTTTGTAATCTTATTGTTGTAAAGGCTGAGTATTTCTAATTTGAGACTCTTTAAGGCCGGGACAGAGGTCAAGAAATTGTTGTAGAGCCAAAGTTCTCTCAATTTAGGTGTCGCCCATGCGTCGAACTCAACACTCGTGATGTTATTGGTGTGAAGACTAAGCACTTCTAAGCTGTCGCTATTGAAAACCAGTACTGACGTCAATAAATTGTTGTTGAGCTGGAGTTCTCTCAATTTGGGAGTATGCCGGTTGTCGAACTTGAAATTCATGATCTGATTCGTGTGAAGACTGAGTTTTTCTAGGTTGTCGCTCTTGAAGTTCGGCATTGAGGTCAAGAAGTTGTTATACAGATAGAGTTCTCTCAATTTGGGAGTCTCCCATCCGTCCAACTCCACGCTTGTAATCTTATTGTTGTAAAGGCTGAGTATTTCTAATTTGTGACTCTTTAAGGCCGGGACATAGGTCAATAAATTGTTGTAGAGCCAAAGTTCTCTCAATTTAGGTGTCGCCCATGCGTCGAACTCAACACTCGTGATCTTATTGGTGTGAAGACTAAGTATTTCCAGGCTGTCGCTCTTGAAGACCGGTACTGACGTCAATAAATTGTTGCTGAGCTGGAGTTCTCTCAATTTGGGAGTCGCCCATCTGTCGAACTCCACACTCTGGATCTTATTGTCACTAAGACTGAGTATTTCTAGGCTATCGCTCTTGAAGGTGGGAACAGATGTCAAGAAATTGTTATCGAGATGGAGTTCTCTTAATTTGGGTGTCGCCCATCGGTTGAACTCCACACTCGTGATCTTATTGTCTTCAAGATGGAGTATTTCCAGGCTGTCGCATTTGAAGGTCGGGACAGAGGTCAAGTAATTGTTATAGAGATGGATTTCTCTCAAATTGGGAGTCGCCCATCCGTCGAACTCCACACGCGTGATCTTATTTGTGTGAAGACTGAGTATTTCCAGGCTGTCGCTTTTGAATTGCGGGACCGATGTCAACAAATTGTTGCAGAGCCAGAGTTTTTCCAGATGTTTGAATTCATGAAGATTGCGGAAAGGAAAGTTCTCCAGACGACTATGCTGAATTCCGAGATCCACGTGCAAGTGTTTCAAAGGGAGAAAGGCTGTAGGATATACCTTTTTCACTGCAGTGTTGTTCATCCATATCTGTCGGAAGGAAAGAACCCCGAAGAATCCTTCGCGGATCTCTACTACTTCCGTATTGTCTCCCATGAGGAATTCCCTGGATGGAGAATGACCATCATCAGAACATTTGACATTCCACTTGCTGATAAATATTTCCTAACTCTCGAATGATGTGAGCATGTTTTGAAAATTTCTGACTCTTAGTTTGTAAAAACTCTCGACTTTGTGAAAAAAAGCTCCATGTCCCCTAATCCTCTGTTAACTTGCTTGCATTCCCTAGGAAATCAAACTTCGCTTTCTTTTCGGCAGGTTCTTCTCCTACTTCATGATGTGTTACTGCTAAGTAACCAATATTTATAATCAAATCTTTAAGCTTACAAGCTTTTTCCTTACTCGCCCAGAGAAGCTTGTTCAGAAAGTTCTCTGTAAAAATGTCACGATCATGCATATCTTCTACTAGCGAGTTTTTTTGCCCTTCGGGCAAACAAACTCGCTAGTTTCTCGCTATGGTCGCGCCTTCAGCGCTCTATTACCTTGGATAGTGATTAATTCATTCATTTTTTGCGAAATGGGAAACACGTATTTAAGGTACGTCCCCATTGAAATACGTGACATATGGGGTCGAAAGTCTTGATTTTTATCAAAATCATTCCCTCTATGATTCTATGTGTGCCTAACTTGAAATCTTTTTTGTGTCCCTTTTTGTAAGGGTGGAGAATACATTTTTAAATACTTCCCACCAATAATGTACGGTATGGAGACATATTTCAAAATTAGGATATTTACTCTACTCAGCCATGAAACAGGTACTTTTGAGGGAAGTTTAAATGTTCTGTCTCTGTTTCGTTGGATCAAAAAAAATCATGAAAATGAACTGAAAAAAGTGTCCTAATTGGTTTTAACGAAATTTTTTTTCTTTTGAAATGTAGACTCAGGGAACTTCATGCCTCCCAGTTTCAGCCTTATACGTTTCCCCTTTTTACTGTCGGAAAAAATGTATTTAGAAAAGCGACTCACCCAAAAGCTGTGCTCTGATGAGACGTATAAAAAAAGTTTAATTATTCCTTAAATCAACATCACGTCAGTGATGCGTGCGCCACTACTTATCTATGTCTGCCCGGTGAACTACATGCCCACAAAGATTCAATATTATATATTTCCCCTTTTCGCAGGTGAAAAAACATACTTGGAAAAGCCGACCTTCAAATGCGACAGCCTGGAAATACTCCATCTTGAAGACAATAAGATCACGAGTGTGGAGTTCAAATATCATGTCACTTATATATGTACCAAGTTTCATCTTTCCACACTAGCTCAATACGCCAGGACAAAAATATACTTGAAAACGTCGGCTCACAAAAATATGCCCCCAAGGCATGGATCTAAAATTTTTCATTTTTTCTGAACTCATCGTCTCGTTAGGCACGTCCATGCCAAGTTTCAGCTTTCTATGTCTCTCCGTTTTATTTAAGCAAAAATAATGTTATGGTGGGGGAATGAGTAACGCTAATTCTAAGGAAGGCAAAGGAAGCCAAGGTATGGCCGGGAATTGAACCCGGACCTTCTGATTGCTAGTCAGAGATGCTATGACTACACCACCGATCCATGCACACCCAGTTGACTCTCTGAATGCCATCCTCATCTGTCACAAAATATATTTAAGGAAACGTTTCCACCCAAAAGTTGTACCCCTAGGGCATGTTCCTCCAAAGTTGGATTTTTCCTGAACTCTGCATCCCAAAAGTACCTGTTTCATGGCTGAGTAGAGTAAATATCCTAATTTTGAAATATGTCTCCATAAGAAAAATCCAACTTTGGAGGAACATGCCCTAGGGGTACAACTTTTGGGTGGAAACGTTTCCTTAAATATATTTTGTGACAGATGAGGATGGCATTCAGTCAGTCACGATCGTCTATATACAGGGTGTTCTTAGACGCAAAATAGGGAATCCTTTACCGCCTGTATGCGGAGTACCTTCGGCGCCTTAGAGCCCACCGGGTTGCATATCTGCAAGGAAACAAACCAGGGAAAGGCTTCATCCTTCTAGAAATGCAACCCGGTGAGCTATAAGGCACGCTTTGAACTCCACAAAGAGGCGGCAAAATTTTCCCTATGTTGCGTTTAAATACGAACACCCTGTATATTAGATTTACACCTTGAAAAAGCTACTCGGATACTTGGATTCCGACACTTGTAGTGCACTTCGTGTTAGCCCAATATTTCACACAGGTATGATATGATGATGATCCGTGGAACAGTTTGGATCTCAAATGAGAAAGGGAATTCCGATTGTATTTCCCTATCGGATGATGGGAAAATGGAGAGATTGCTTCTTCTTCCCCTCGGCAGGAGAACTACTCTGAAGCGATGCGATTGCGTGCAGAGTAGGATACATTGAACATGTTTATTCGTAGAGTATATGTTTCTAGTGATTATGGCGTCTTGTTGCGAAATTTCATGCATCTAATTCTATTAATATTTCTTCCAGATCGATAAATAAATTTATATAATGGTCCCATGAATAAAAAATCACCCTGTCTTTAGGAATGTTTAGGTTCCTGGACACGCAGTGATAATTTTTTTTGGAGGAGTTTCGAACCTCCTTTGAGATTACAGACACTTTGGGATTTTTTGATATTCGAAACTGATGTTCGAAATTGAACTAACAAGCGAACGATCCCTTTCCTCATTCAGTTTGAAAGAGTCTCTGAAAAATCTTCAACATGATGTCGACTGTCATTGTTGACATATAGGGAAGCAACGTGAAACGTTCATTTCCTGACTCAAAACGTAGAGGCCTCCCGATAGCCCCTGAAATCCCCACAAATAGGACATGATGGTCCTTCTTCGAGACGCACACCTCGTATTCCAATGGACATTTGGCAAATATTTCCCCACACTCTAAAAAATCATTTCACGAAATTCTGATGAAGACATATGAACAGAGTTTCCATCTAATGCGCGGAAAAGGGGATTCAGATTTAGAATTTAGGTGCCTTAGCCTTAATATTTCAAGGAGAAGAAAGGGAAAATTCCGCTTGTTAAGCGAATAGGGATTTGCAAAGAAACCTAAGAAATATTTCCTAGAATGACGAGAATTCCAGATTTAAATGTTCCTGGAAATTTTCACGACAAAGAATAGGACATTTCCGAGTATTTTTTACATTGTACATGGGTCATTCCACGGCAAAATGGGGACAAATGAATCAACATTTCAAAATGCATGGGCAATTCTACAGTGGGTGTCGCCACGAAGAGTATATTCTAACATATACACAGAATTCTGGGTTTGCATGCACTTGGCTGCGATGCCCTGCAGCATCGCCATTTTGAATTTAAGGCAGTCAATATGGCTTCTCTTCACAGTACGCATTCTTTTTGGTGATTTCTTGAAGATTTTACCTAGGCAAGGACTGTAAATCAAGAACAATTTGACATATGATGCGTTCCGTCAAAGTAGTCGTCTCATTCTCAGTTATTACTGCAAACGTACTTTCTGCGACGTCTTGAAGATGAATAAATTTTCCCATGTAACATGAGACACGAAATTGTTTTTCCGTTTTCTCGCACTAACAATAACTTTAAAAAACTCGGAATGTTATATCCAACAACAGTTTAATCCCTGCACTTGTTATGCCTCAAGGGACGATCTGATACTTAAAATTCATGTTGCCATGCTCATGTGCGGGACTGCATCGACTATTTCGAGGAAATGCCCTGTTTCTTTTCCAGAAGATAAAAAAATAAAAAACAAGAGAACTATTGCTCATATTGCTCACCAGAGTTGAGTGGTGGGCCATGAGGGCTTCATCAGGGCTGAGGAAATCGCAGCGGCTGAGCTGGCCCTCGAACAATCCACTCTCACATTGCCATCCGAATATTTGGTGCACGTGCAGGGGGATATGTCTTCGTAGGGGCATGTTTGCTCCGTGATCGCAGACGCAAAAAAGGGAAAGAAAATGAATAGGACGGTCAATGATGGATTCATTATATGATCGGCAATCGGAGGACGGCTGGATGAGGCCCGTGGTGTTGTGTATCCTTTTCAGGTGTGTCTTCTTAGGTGATGGGAGTTGGCCCAAGTAGGTATGACAAGTATTCCTGTGGGAACGGAAGAATGCTACAACACATGTGGTAGAAAAGTGAGAATGAAAGTGTCCATGCATAAATTTCAGAGATTGTGTAATTCATGCGAACTAACGCTATTTTCATTCTGAAATTCCAGCTTTAATATTTCGCCATTACCTAATTAGTTGAAAAGGTGGCACCTCCATGTAACCACAATCAACAATTCAACTGTAATGAGCTTCATGCCATGGTGCCACTTTCGCATAAAGTTTTCTTGAGAAACGTCATTCACAAAAATTGGGCCCAAAGGAATTTGACACCAAGATAGGATTTTCCCTAAATTCTGCTCGCCAAATCTTAGCATTTATCTGTTCTTTTGTATCTATCATAGAACACGCTAAGAATTAAGAAGAGTCAGTCTCGCGATCGTCTTCCTGGAAAAGCTTCAAAGCGACGTCTCCCATCATTTCCTTGCATTTCTCAATTCGATTTTTCTGTTCCCTCGGAAGAGTTTCATTCATACTGACGATTTTGAAATACGAGACGGTACATTATGAAAATTCTGCTGCAGAAGTTGAATTACATATTAAACACTGAAGCTTGGTACCTATGTTTCCCACCCAAAAGTAAGAAAACGCAAATATTGAAAGTACAGGGTGATTCAAAAGTCACTTTAAATTTTTTCAGGCCGTAAATGATATGAATAGATTTGTCTGCTTCTCCTGGGCAGTTTGGCATAATATTAGTATGGGGCGAAAGAAACTTCGGAAGAAACGACAGGAAAAGAATTATGATTTGAGTAACCTTTTTTTTACTCGTGGATCACTCCACGCCAAATCGACCAGAGCGTGATCCCGACCATCTTCGATTTTTGGACAAAGATCGTATATATATATATTAGGTATATGAGTTTCTCGGCAACCGGGAGACCAATTTGCCTAAACAATTGGGTTCAATAAGGAAGCACTCTTTAAAGTATCCGGTGGATTGGTATCATATGATCCATCATTTGTGTCGT